TGTGTGTGTGTGTGTGTGTGTTAATGAGATCTAACAGACAGTAATGCCAAGGAATGTATAGGAGAAGTTATTAGAACCAATGGAATGTAAATAAGAAGAAAGAAAAGTGAGTGAAAAAATAACCAGCCGTGAGCACGCTCACGGCTGGTTATTTTTTTACCTACTTTTCTTCTTATTTACATTCCATTGGTTCTAATAACTTCCCCTAAATATACATTCCTTGGCATTACTGTCTGTTAGATCTCATTAATATTGTGTCAAAACACGGAAAAACGAGCCCTCAGGTATACACTTCTTTCCCTTATATAAACTTCTCGTATATTTTTTTCAGCTTTATGTCCCTTATTCTTGCGCTGTTTGCCACACTGCTTAACAATAAAACTTGTGCTCACTACAGCTGCCCACACTGCATTTTTCATTACGCTGCTTTAGGTTTACGACCCTCATCTTTTTATCAGCTTAAGTTATATGATGAGTATTGTAGCTGGCCTTTCTAAGGTTGTGATTGGCCCGCACGTTTGCCTGTGTTGCACCTTCATCACTAGACAACACTTAGGAGTGTCTTTAGCCGTTAGGGCACAGTAAATATATGTGTCAACGAATATTTTAGACTTGCATAAAAGTGAAGTTCGGTGGATGAGCCGAATATTGTCGCGCGTGTGTGTTTGTATGTTAGCAAAATGTGTGAAGGGTAGCAAACCGGATGCAAATATTTGGTTAATCTCCCAGCCTTCCTTTTCTTTCTCCCTCTATCTTAGTCTCTGGCTGGAGTATATCATAGCACACGTACGAAGAGTCACACTTATGTGCTTGAACGTGGCCTATCAGACCTTGGAACTGTCTGGTTTTTACCATTAAAACGAACCTCTGCCTAGTGAAAAGTATCATAGCAATCGACTCCGGCGAGATCTGTTCCGGTGGGTAGTAGTATGACCACCGCTGCAGCATTATTCCCTTCTCCGAGGAAACTTAGAACGCTCGCAGCCGAAGGTCCATTCTTTCACCCTGCAGTGCCTGCACTTCCAGAACTGGTTCACGGTGGTGCCGTTTGGGTATTGTTTTCGTGCAGGTGACGTTTTTGCAAGTGCAGCAACAACGTGACGCAGAAACGAATACGGGAAGGCAGATTTCGTGCAAGCCCTCGCTACTCGTCGGCTGTCTCGCGTGTTGTGGAGGCTGGAATTCGTAAAAGACGGCGCCGCTTTTCATTGCTTGGCAGGTATCCATGGAAAATATTCACGAGAAGTCGTCGTCCATTTCTTTTTCCTTCTTTTCTTTCTCGTCTTTTATTCTCTCGGCTACGCGTGACCAGTGACAAGGTTAGACTAAGATTAGCTTCGCCCCTAAAAAATCACAGCATATCCGCGAGGTGAATGACGACTAGTGTGGCGAAGCGGACGGACGGACAGATTCCCAAGTACCGACATCTCGCATTTTTGCATCATTTATTCATCATATACAAGTACCGCCATCCAGCGGACATTCTAAGGACTAAACGAGAGACGACTACTACTACTACGACAACACGGGACATACGACCCACTGCGTAAAGCGTTTCGCCCCTGATTGTGCCACTAACAGTTTCCCATGGGGCGACTCTGAGTAAGGGCTGTTCCACGTGCTACCCGCACAGCCGCAACGCACGTGCCGGGACCCCTGCCGCACGCAAGCGGGGGACAAATAAGCCAATTGGCGGCGCTCTTTCACCCTCTGTTTCGGTGCCGCAGGTGTGCCGGCACGTGCGTCGCGGCTGTGCGGGAAGCGCGTAGAACGGCCCTAAATGCGTCGCAGAGTGGTGAGGGTATAGCGTGAATGTGGCGTAATTGTGTGTGGTTTGAGAATGCTTGTTATTTCGACTTTTATTCTTATTTATTGAATGAAGGAGAAGCGTTCCCTTCAACGTCAAGCGAAAGCCAAGTAAAGACGCCCTTGACTGAATTTCAAACGCGCGATTCACTGCCTATATATACGGGTCTGTACGCAGAGCGGTTGAGCAGCGCGAGCAGTCCATTTTATTGAGATAGCAATTATAAATACAGTCTCCGCTGGTTTTTTTGTTTTTTTTTTTTTTTTGCCGTCGCCGCCGCCGTTATTCACAGTATATGTATACGTATCTATATATTTGAACTCAAGAAAAAAATGGCCCCGTATCTGCATGTTTCACTGCAAATGTCATGGAAAGACGACAGTCCTGCATGTGGCGGGAGTGAACAAAACTTTTATCTGATGTTCTACGCCAGAAAATTGGTGACCTGCATTTTGAAAGTGCTCCGTTAGAGAGTCTCTATCCGTGCAGCGAAGGCAAATGAGCGCATCGAGGCACGTTAGACACGATCGAGCGCTATCTGGCAATTATATTCGAAAACGAAGGAAGGCGTGCGCGCACACGGAGAAAGATGCACGCCTGTCTAGGAGGCGACAAGGTGTAGAACGCAAAGCAACGGGCAAGTGCCACCATTGTGTCGTCTTAGCAAAACGTTGGAAACACTTGCCTTTTTAGGCATCGCGTTGCACTGTCAGCGCGATCCTTAGAATTACATATTTGTGCCTTCTCTAGTATAAAGCCACACAACAAAATATCGACGTGTTGTCATGGTGCCTCAGATACGCGTAATAATTGCTTTTTAAATGACAATCGCACAAGTACGAATGCTGAAATTTCAGCAATATTGGTGGGCGCTGCGGACGGGCTTGGCCATTTGGCGTATAAGTTAATGCCAATTGGGGCATCGTTACGAAGGAAAACAGGTAAATGTACAGACAGACAGACCAAAATTTTTGCGTCGAAGTACTCCAAGAAAGACTTGTCTTCAAAAGCCAACTACGGCGATTCTAAGAGGTCAGTGGATCTCAATAAAATTCACTGGGTACGTTCCTTTGCACATTTAAGTCATTCATGCCAAATTACAGGCTTGAGAGATGCGCTGATTGTGTGCAAATGAATTGTAAAGATTGCCTCAAAAAGCTAATCTCGCTTGCCAGAATTATTGGCAACACTGTCTGCGTGATGTCGTGTTTGGCATGTTAACGGAAGTGATGCAGGCGATGGCATTGCTACTTAGGCCGCTACAGCGTTCATTGTGCTGGCCACAAGGCGCCGGCGGCAGCGTTTGGCACGGGTATAGCACGGGAAAGCTTTCTTTCCTCCTCTGTGGTGTTTGGCCGGCACTTCGCTGCTCTGGTTTTCGCAGTGTTCATACTACGCGCAGGTGGAACCAGTATATGGCCTCCTGTTCTTACCAAATAGTACGTGATATGCAGACAGGGCGCGCCAGGTCGAGTTTCGGTTTTGCACCTTTTCGCTTATTTCTAAATTTCCAGAGCATTTCAGCAATTGGGCTCGTGACAACAGTGTCTCGGGAACATAAAACATAAAAACACCATTACCTCGACATGGTCTAAAAATCGCCGGAGTTGGCTTTTAATAAACCGTCTGCGCTTGGTGCCCAGCTCGTCACGATGCGCCGCCGCGCGCTTATCTCCCACGCGTACATTGCCCTGCGAACTTGGGCCGGGGTTAGATGCTCGCGCGCGCTTATCCTTCGGTGCGGAGAATCGTATGCCTTCAGCTTTCACCGGAACGATTGTGTTCGTTGCCGGGCCCACAAAGGTCACTTCGCTCTTTGAACAGGTCCCATTTGCGAAAAGGGCGCGCTTTTCATACACAGCGAGGTATCAGAACCGAGACATTTGTTAGTTTGCACTCACCTGTACTTGCGACTATGTTTCGTGCGTCATTTTTCAAACAGTGCGTTAAGTGTCAAGTGGTAAACGTTGTTAGTTTGCTCTCGTCCTGTGTATGTTGTTTTCATGCTTCATTTGTGCGCGAGCAGAGCGCTGCACGTTCCGATCTGCTTGCCGTTGTCAGCGTTGCATTCCAAGCTGTTGCTATCACATTTATTGCTTCGCCCTTGCGGTGAAACTGCCTTTATTTTTACAAGTAGACGCTGCCTGCGTCGGCCTTGCGAGGCGAGAGAGGGGAGCAATAGATTGCAGCATGCCGCACAAGACGAGCATGTACATTGGGGGTATGGACATCACCGCGGAACCCAAGGTGGTCGAAATTTCCGAAGTCCTCCACTAGGACGTCTCTCATAATCATATGGTGGTTTCGGGACGTTAAACCCCACATATCAAATCAATCACACAGCATTACGCACGTAGGGCTTTGAAGGCTCTAAGTCTCTGCTTTAACTATGAAATGCGAACATGTGCATCATACAGGTAAATCGCAAAATGATCGCGACTAGTTTTTTCTTGCCATTGGTATGCGCGATTGCCGGAGCTATTTTGGACGCCTCTGCTTTGCCTTTCATTGCACATTGAGAAAGTGGACATGCATGTACCCCCATTTGTAGTCTATACAAACGAAAACCAACCGTCAACAGAAAATTCTAGCATACATAATAAAACAGTTCAATGCACAGGAAGCGAGCGATCGATGAAGAAGCCAACTGCAAAGACGAAAATCGCTAGGCACATTCGATCCAGATAAAGCAAGCTTTGTACCTCTGATTATATAGATTGCTCGTGTATGCACTTGATTGCTTTGGCATCGTGTGTGTCAATGTTTAATGCTTTCAGCGTTACAGAACGCACGTCAGAGTGCTTGCCTCGAACTCAATATCATGCGATGTTCGTTTGCATTTAAATTTCCAGTGGAAGCACGCCGAAATAACTGAAACATCTTTTGCATTGTGCCAGCCTTTAGTTTTGACGAGCTTCCTACATTTCTGAGGTGAGGTTAAATTGATGAAAGAGGCTTGCCAGGCCTCGATTTTCACAAAACCGCACCTCAACATCAACAAAAGAGGAGGGCCTATGCACGTTCGCTTGCGAATGGCTCTCTTTGCACTACCCATTGATGGTTGACGTGGCGATGGAGGCGCTGGTGGTAGAGTTTTTCACAGCGCCACTTGGGGAGAGTCTGACATCTAATTTGACGTCTAGCTTGACACACTGAGCAATGTGCCACTTACTAAAGAATACACTCACCAGCATATGTAAAAAAAAGACCTGTATTGCATCCAGACTCTCATACAAATTCACTTCGAGAGAGGAGAAATTAACACGGTTGCACAAAAACATCAGCCAATCCTGTAATTATGCCAACAGCTACAAACTTTTCTACTGCCTTACTTTAAGCACACACTATCGAAACGAAAAGTAGAGCTAAATAAGGCTAAGGTTCACACAAAGAAAAGGACAGTCAGCAATTTCATCAAACGCCAAGCAGCCAGCCACAGATGCAAGCTCGCATGTCCATTTTGACAATGACAGTGCTGTATTACAGTTTGGTAGTAGTGGTGGTAGTAAAAGTGGCTATGAGCACATTCATGTTTTCCTGGTTTCACGGTCTTCCACATCAAAGCAAAAGATCACGTGTACACCTGGGCACACAACTGTGAAAGCAAGCAAATCTGGCATGAGACGACAAACCGCGCTGCACTGCACTCTAATACAAAATACAATCTGGTAGTAAGTCTCAAACATAGTTACATTATAGAGGTGAAAAACAAGATTTCAAGAACCAAGATGCAAAATAATCACGAGCGTTTCTCGGTACACAAATTATACCAGCGCAATATTGAGCGCACAACGGACACAAATAGAAAGAACAGCATTACAGCAATCACTATGGCGGCTACTAAGACACCGTGCTTCAGCATTAGCAAACGAAGCGCTGGGGGAAAGCGGTCTGCTGCTACAAATGGGAATATCAGTAACATCATAAAACATCCACAATCTGAAAATGTTAGCAAACTTTACAACACTGCTGTAGTGCAAGATTTGAGAAAGAAAACGCCTGCAAATGCTAGATAAGAAGCCTACTTTTATGTGCGTTACTGCTACAATGCCCTGCACAGCGAAAAACCCCACTGACAAACGGACTGATTAGGAAGTGAAACACACAGGAAAAAAAGAAGAGAAAAACCCTTGGCATGTCTGTCTTCTGTGGCAGCTGAAAGAGTTCCCGGTAACTAAATAACAGTCACTAGCTGGCAGTTGCCAGGTAACAAAGAAGGTTGAAAAAAATCTCGCACAAAAGTACAGCGTGATAGATTGGACACCAATTGCTTGCAATTGCAGCTCTGGGGAGCTGAAAGCAACATAGGGGCTAACGAGTGCACAAGCAGCAGATAACTACAGGTGAGAGCCAAAGTAAATGATGAACAAACTGCCACTAGAAAAATATGAATGCTATTGAAGCCAAAAGAATGAAAATGGCAATAAAACGGAGGCATTAGTAAAGAGGAGCTCTGAACGAGCAATGAGCAGCATCTCGGCCAAAAGCCCAAGAAGCACTGTGGGGGCCAACAAAACTAAAGAAAAAGGTTGAACAATTACAGGATCTAACTCTACCCTAAAAACCAAGAAAAACTCTAACAGGAGTTCCCTAGTTTGCCATAAACAAAGAATGTGCTTTGCAAAAAAAAAAATCTAATCAGCAAATTCTAGGAAAAATCCATTAAGGAATAGGTGCTCTAGTGAATGGACACCACCGAGAAAAAGAACAAAAAGAAACTGTTCAAGAATGCTACAAGCAACTCTTCATTTGCAAGACGAGTGCCATCTTGAATATCCATGTCATACAGCATCTGGTAGTAAGACATGGAACCAAATCCTAAGCATCCTCAAGGAGAAAAAAAAAAAGTGCAGTGGGAATGCCAACTGCGTGAAGTTATACATTCATAGAACTTTCCAACGCCAGCGAACACCAAGGAACGCCATTAGAAGAAAAGCAGAAAAAGGCGAACAAGAAGCGCCATATCCAGAAACTGAAAGAACATTCAGTCTGTTGCTGAAATCCTTCATTTATCAGTCCTCAAGTCTGTAGTTTTTCAGTTCAGAAGTTGGATGTTCGTCAGTTTCCAAGTTTGTCATAGGTCATGTCAGTTTTCTCTTTTTGTAGACAGCCGCTGCGAGTTGCCAGCGTTCCAGTTATCTTTGCAGAAACTCTAGTTTCCACAGGTCAAACGATTGTGCAGGAACCCTTTGAGGAAAGCAGGGTTCTGGAATTGCAAAAAGCTCGCACGTGCCCCAAATGGAGGGGATGGGGGAAGCGAAATCGGCGGCCAGTACTTGATATGTAGCAAAGCTATGGCGTTTGAAATGCATATGCATCAAGTTGAAAAAAAAAAAAACGCTCTGCAGCATAGTCTCCACCGTTAATGCATTCACATAAAACGATATCTCTGCAAGGAAATAAAAGGTCTTCCTCAAACTGTGGCAATGGAGGGGAGACGAGAGGACGCTGCGCTGAGCAAATGGGATGGTAAAACAAAGCAATTTCATTGCTGTGCGTCAGGTTGACTCGCTGCGCCAGTAGAGCACTAGTATTTCCAGTGGATGCCAGCACAGTTCGGTTGGAGACACTCAACAGAAGAAAACGACACTTTGGTGCTTGAACTGCTACCATGAGACAGCCACTTGCTCCATGCTGCAGTGGTCCATCACACATGTGTCACTGTCTGCCTCCTTCCGCTGTCTAGGTAATTGTTTAAAATATTTTGGATTCCCCAGGATTAGAGAGTAGCTTCTCGTTCCTGTAACGTACGTGTGAGGTAGTCGTCAAAGAAGAGCGCACATAGATGACAAGAACTCCTTTGGAAAAAAAGGAGAGCACACCGCGCTTCCTAAACCAGTGTATTCGAAAAATTAACAAATGTTAAATCAGTCATCATCTGGAGACGTCCTCGCAGAGAGAGAGAGCACAGTCTTGAGAGAAAGTTTCCGTAGCCTGTAATTCTGAGGGAGGGGCGTCGTCGGAATGAAACTGGTGCATGTTGGCAAAAAACAAAAAAAAAGGGGGACAGGCTTTTGACGTGGGAATTTTATTTAGGACGCAACAATGTTTTTAGAAGCCCCCACCCTCGCGAAAAGCCAGCAGAAGGCCATGAGCTGCTATTGCGAGTTTTCCCAAAATACCCTTTTCAGAGCCTGCTATTGGAAATTAGCAGCGGTCACATACATCTTCACTGTAGTGCTTAGCATATCAATTCATTTCTTGACTTCGCTGCAGCTACAAAAAAAAAAAAAAAAAACCACGCATGTGCTGCCAAACCATGCAAGGAGGCCAACACTTTTTTTTCTTCTGGACACATCCCGAACTGCAGGGAACGAGAGCTTTTCTTTTTCTTCCAGTGCTCGTGGCTCCCCTTGCAAATCTTTTGTGTGTGTGACGGCAATGCAGTTGTGATGCCAGCTTCAACGGTAATAACTGCTTGCAAGAGGGAAAGGGGTGGGAAACAACTGAACTTATTGGAGAAACTTGGCACATAAACCAACCAATAACAAGTCTTGCTCGTGTTTTTTTTTCCTTTTTCCTTTGTGTCTTTCACAAGTTGTACGCACAGACAACCCAACGAAGGCCTCAACATTTCCTCGCAGATCATTTCAGAGCCATAACCCTTCTGAGGAGATACAGCAGATGTGTGAGAAATTGGCTGCTTGGCAATGCAGGCGTGCACGCAAAATCATCAGCCTTCAACTATCAAAACAACTTGGTAGCATTTTTTTGCTTTGTTTATCTCTCTGACAAACATATGCCTTTCATTTTTTTTCCTTTCCATCCATCTAACATGCAATGCGTCGCATCACATCAGGTCATCGAGCATCCAAAAAAAAAAAAAGAAGAAGAGAAAGTGTCGCGGCAAAAGGCGCCACTCTGTCATGGAACACCCACCCACACACCACACACACAGTCATTCACACACGCATACGAAAAAAAAAAAAAGTTTCTCCAACAAGTATCAAAAATAAAAGCTCTCGTTCGTCGCGTAACATTTATACAATAAAAAATGGGAGGGGCGGAAACACAAAACGCGACACGTGTTTCTTGCCTTCGTCAAAACGCCCCTCCGTGCTCAGCATGAGCGGCAGACTCGCAACACTGACTACAAAAGTTCAGCCGGCTCCACCGGCAAATACGGCTGCTATTTTCGTCACGAGTGCCGCCTGCCGCGAAACTTCGCGTTTCATTTTTTACAAACACATGTGTAACGTGCCACACAAAGCTTCACTTGTGGGATAAAAAAAAAAAAAAAAAGAACACGCACCACTTCTTTTTTCAAGTCCAGGCAGCCAACTGCAAAAGCTGATGCCTTCACCCCTGTGCCCAAGGTGCAGAGGGGGCAGAAGGGTGCCCTCTACGTCTTGTTGCTATTAGGAGGCAGATTAACACCCCCTAAAAACCACTGGGCCATCACATTAAGCCACTTAAACCAACGTGAGACTCCAATGGCCTTCAACCAGAGCAAGCTTGTGGTGTTCTCCTGAGTCCCAACGACGACCGCTGTTTGCAAGCACTCAGAGCTCGGCATTTCTTTCACAACACACACACTCGCCCACACCATGTGCTCTGCTTTTTCCGCTACTGAGAACGTTGTCAGGAGCTGAGCACACAGTATCGCAGTGGATCTTGCTCAAAAACAGAACTCCATTCACGTGCTCCTTAGAGATGCAATCCAGGGGCTTCCTACAGCATGCAAGGCTATGCACAAGCTGGTGCACCCTGGTGCCTCGATGCCACTGGCAAACCATGGAATGATCGTCCGATGTCCCCTCCTCTTCCTACGCCAGTGTCAATCTGGTGGTCCACATAGAATCAAGTGTCTAAGGGTTCCCTTCCTCCCCCTCACACCCATACATAATATTATATACACAATGCACACACCTCCTTCACACACTCCCTCCCTCATTACTCTCCCCCGTGGAGGAGCACTCTCTCTTCCACACTTGCACCTTGTGTCGCTCAAACTCACTTTTTACACCATTTGTTTGTTTTTTTCCATAAAGAGAGAGAGAGAGAGAAAGAAGAAAAAAAAATGTGACATGTTGATGAAGAACAAGATCAACAACATCATCAACTGCCCTGCTCCCTGCCACCTACTCCCACGATAATTTTTCTTGTGGCCAACACTCTAAACGCACCTCTACGAGGAAAAAGGAATGAAAGGACTGAACAGAATTGAGCTAATTTTAGGATCTTACACCAACCAACGCATTCCATAATTACAGTTCTGAAACTGGCCATCTTTGGTGATGCTTGTGCCCAACTCCCACAAGACCAGAGGCACCCCGAGAAGCGGGGCGAAGTGTACACCAACATGGATCTGCATGATTGGCCACATGCTGGACACACGAAAAACCAAAGCTTTCAACCTAAGCGAAACTGTGGCAGCAGCAGGCTCGCTTCCCAGTAGACTAAGTGCCATTTCTGCAAAGTGGTTTTCGCTACACTGGCTGCATGATGTTAGTGCCTCCAAGCCCAAGCAGCTGTGTTCAGTTATTACATTTAATATCAGTAACAGGTCTTCCTTGCAAAGCAAAGAAAAATAAAATCTGAGCAATACTTTCAATGAATGAGGTCACTTTAAGGTAATAAGCACATTCACAGAGAAACTGAAATTGCAATCAAACATCAATCTCGAAAGGAATTTCAAAGCTCTACCTTAGCCCTAGTTTATGCAGTAATATTCTGAGCATGCCCCGCAGGAATTCTTAGAAATCCATAGGGATCAGCAGCCCTTATTAACGAAAACTTGTGCACAAGGACACACCCCTTTCAATATTGTCGCTGCAGCAGTGCGAGGGAGTCTGGCCACAAGAAAAACATTGTCGGAGAGACGGCCACCCAATCAACTCGTACATGTGCCTCAGTTGCTCGTTGTGGGAGAGCCAGCAGGCTGCTGTGGCTGCGAGGAAGAAGATGACGATGGAGGCGAAGGCTGCTGCTGTTGCTGCCTACTGCTGTTGTTGCTGCCGCCCCGGCGTGGTCCCATTCGTGGGTGCATGGGGTAGGGACCCTGGCCACCAACCATCTGGTTGCGGTTCACCAAGGCCCGGATCTGGCGTTGGGCCGCCTGCAAGGCAATGCACAAAATCGCGTGCGATCTAGCCTACAAAACAGCCGGACGTATTAAAAAAAATGATTTCAGGTGTCACAGAACGGAAAAAAAATGTTCGAACTAACCAAATTATCAACAGTGTTAAAAAACAAGCAAACATCTATCTCATCTATACACTTTCATTTTGTTGATAGTGGAAATACAGCAAATACGGCATGGAACATGTAATGTATCTTGAAAAAGTGCTATAAAATCAATTTATGGAAAATCACGCTTTGTTTCTGCAGCCTTTCTATTCGATTCAGAAATATCTCCACTAAAAACTGCCTAGAAGTGCTTTTAAAATTTTGTTGCTCTGGTCATAGACTGTAATTACTGCCAAAAACACAGATTTTCAAAAAATCGTAGCACTGCAATGGCGCGGCTAGGCGCCATTGCTATAGGCTCGTTAAAAAGAGCATTTCTCTATGTTCAAATTCTTTGCTTTAGCTCGCTCCCCCAGGAAAAAAACAAGTGTGTAATAAGCAAATGTCCAAATATCGCCTCAAGGCCTCTGATTGGCCGCATCCGTCATGTTGCTCCAACATGCCTCGCCATTGGCCTGACCGGGAAAATGCGTATTCCGCTTGCAATCCTTGATGCGTCATCAGGTCAATGCTGCCGAAAACCATGCCATTTAGTAGCGAGGCGTGCGCACTTGTTCTGTGTGCAAGCTCAATCACGAGGATTCAATAACCCTGAAAACATCCCAGACAGGAGTCTTGAACCGACCCGTAGGAACAGCAGTGACCGATAAGTTCTGCAAATCAGAATTTCGGACTTGTCGACGAAGACCATCGTGGAACTGCTCTTTGTACTCGCGATTGAACACTTGATGTTTTTTAAATGTTGGGCATCACGACCGGTCTTACTGCTCAGAGTTGTGCATATGCCACGGTTTAAGAATAAGTTCGGAGCAGATATTCGCCGCTCCGTGCAAGCAGATTCTGTTCGCCGATGACCCTGAGCTACAAGTAGTTGCCGTCGCGCGAGTTGAGATGGCGCTACTGTATGGCATGACAGGTATTTGCGCGGTGCTTATTCTAAAATACGCATGCCGAAGAGAATCTTGCTGAAAGCTTTGAGTGCATGGGATTTTGCTGTTTAGAAATGTGTCGCCCTGTGTCTGTGAGCCCTGCCAGCGCATTTGTTCAGCTGATTTGTGCGTTGCGATTCAGCGCACGTAGACCTCAGTACTGCATACAAGTCTGAGTACGCATCAGCGACCTTGTTACAGGCTGCACCTTGAAATGGGCAAGTGGTGTTTTGTCCTAAACTGCAAGTCAGGGTATCGGATTTGTAAGGAGCGCGTATCACTTTTCAAGGCTCCACGTGAACCAGAGCGCATGGATAAGTGGTGACGGGCAATTCCGAAAACTGACAGAGCCTTGCAGCCTTTTGACCATATGTGCGCAAAGCATTTCCCCGAAAAAGCTATCTCTGCCACATATCATGCAGAATGCAAGGGAAACATCATTTTAACGCAATAGCGTTAAAGAGCTCATGTCGCAGAAAACCCGCCGCTGGCTTCAGCCAAGTTGGTTGTGAGTGAAACATCAAGTTACTGAGATAGCTGCGGGAAGTCGCTACTTATCCACGCGTGCGATCACACAGAAAAAGCCGCGCATTCGAAGAAAAAAAAGTGCATAAGGCCGCGAGGCACGGTAGTTTCTTTGCCATGCCACCCCTCCCTACTTAGCTTCCAGCCCTTTCATCGGGATGATAGAAGAGAATGCAATTGCAGCATGAGATAAACCTTTGTAACTCCACTCGCGCTGAACAGATTCTTAAAATTTTTGTGCCGTATAACTCGTAAGGCAATAAGCTCTTCTAGTGAATTCATTCCATGGTTACTTGAAAATGTGTTTCAGGGCCCCTTTAACGCATTTTGTTCGACAGGTGTCACGACAAAAACAAGCCCATCCGGCGATAATAGCGCACGCTGGTCCAATCTACAGTGTATGTGTGTGTGGGCGTGTGTGTGTGTGTAACAAAGCATATGAATAAGTATGCACTTGGAGGTTGAAGGGTGCACTAGAGTCCGAATTTCGCTATCGCATTCAACTCTTAAGGGGGGAGGTGGCATTGAAAAAAACTTTGTTGACCTACAGCAATGAAATTTGGCATGCATACTCATAAGTGTCTCCAATAGGAAAATATGCAGTTTCATCATGATACCTTCAGTAGTTGTCAAGTTACATAATGTTACATGGTCCAATTATATGGTCTGCTCGTGGAAAGCCTAGCACTGTAACAAAACATGCCAAGAAGCTGCGAATAGTGTTGATCGTTACTCAAAAGAAAGCTACAGAGTATGGCACTCTCAGAATTCCTTAACTAGTTCTCTATTTTTTTTTTTTTTAAGAGATCATCATGGCTGCCGACGCACATTGTCAGAAACAGTGGCATGGACAAATCATCGTCTAGAAAAAAAAACAGCGTCGTAAAACAGAAATTGAAGATTGCTGTACCCACAAGCAGTGTTCAGGGATTCAGGAAAAAAAACAAACAATCAAAATCGGTCGAGTCATTCTCGTGCTACTCTTTCCACGAGCAATGCACAATGTCCAAAACACACTTGTGACAAAAAGCCTGTCGAAGTTTTCGACAGGCTTTTCTCAATGAACTTTCTTGTTTCTTGTTGAATATTGATGAAAATTGGCACAGACACTAACAATGACCTCACAGTGCTTCCATAAAAATTTTGAAGCGATAGCACAAATAGTTTATGAGAGAAATTATTTCTTCAATGAACCACGTCGAGGGGCTGAGCATAATGTCAAAAAAACAGTATTGAGAAAACTACGTTTACAGTTTCAACTTTTCTTTACGTCTCTAAGACACCCAAAAAAAGTGATCTCAGGTTTCTCTTGTGATATTTGACTTCTTTTCATGATTTACTCTTTTTCATGATTTACAAAGAACAAGTAGATTTCAAACCAAGTTCTTTGTATAAACGAGTGGTGTGATAAATATGACAGAAAAGATTGTAATTGAATAAGACCATATACTGAAATGATTACACATACTTTTTGTGGTGAAGTTGTAATTAAGTACTTGATTAAAAATAATTACAGAAAATTTTTTTATTTGGAGAGAGAGAAAGAGAGGTTCATTGCATCAGAAAAATGGATCACACCATCACTGCCTATGCCTTCTTTCCAAATAACAAAGTTATGGGCAGAAGACTGGTGGCACAGGAATTTTTAGCAGTATAATTAATGACGCGAAACGGGCATATAAATATTCATGCCCCTGATTCATACATGCTCTTTTGCCACTCTAGCCAAGAAACACATCATCATACAGGCGGTCGCGGAAACTACTCTAATCAACGAGGCCTTCATTGTCTCGGTACATTCATAGACGTTCGTTGCGATATCAAGCACGGCTCCAAGCACATCTAAATCGCATCACAAAAGCTTATTGACAGCACTCCATATGAACGTGGAGTGCGTGGACAGTGCAGCCGGCGTTCGGAGACGATGCGCGAAATGTGCAACTACGATGACAAAAAATCGGCGCGCACTTTGCTTGGCATCGCATTCTCAAGTGACGACGCGCGAAACTGCAAGCCCCTGTTCCGAGGAATCCTTGGCAGTGAGGGGGGGGGGGGGGGGGGGTTGACGAGCTTAACTGTGTTGTCCGCTGCCGATGCGTAAAAAGCAGTACGTAAATTAGAGAAGATAGCGAGTGATGTGCTTCATTCCTTGTGAAGAAGTACGTCGCCAAGAGTGCGCTTGCGCGTGGTTCCTGCCCGCAGTCTCGCTCTCAGCGCAGTTAGGGCTAAAGCCAACTCCAATGACGCGCTGCGCTCGTCGACCGCGTGCCCGCTCGTAGTAATCTGATCGTGCCGCCGCTTACAGCTTCGTTGCTTGCAAAGAAGCATGTCGCAACGAGTGTGCTAGCGCGTCGTTCCTGCCCGCAGTCTCGCTGTCGGCGGAGTTAGGGCTAAAGACTTCGATGAAGCGCTCCGCTCGTAGACCGCGTGCCCGCTCGTAGTAACCTGATCGCGCATCCGTTTACTGCTCGTAACTAAAGCGTAATTATATCTTAAGTGATAATCGATCCCTGAACATGTCACGAAGTAGCGATTTTCGAGAGCCATGTCCTCGCGACGCACAAGCAGCAGACGACGATCTCCCGGAGCGAGCATCGGGCCAATGGCGAGGCGAGCTGAGGCAACATGGCGGTTACAGCCAATCAAGGGCCTCAAAATGACCATCAAAGATTTGCTTTTTGTGCGCTTGCTGTTAAAGGGAGGAGAGCCAGCTGAGGCGGCGAAGTTAAACACTGAGAAATGCTCTTTCCGATGAGCCCAAGAAGCCGGCTCCCGGCCCTAGCATCGCGAAGCAATAATTTTTTGAAAATCGCCGTTTTCTAGCGATTTCCAGAGAAAGTTTTGCTACCTAGGTGGGTGAAACGAATATTCCGAAGCACTTCTGCACGGTTTTCAGTGTAGATATTTTGGAACCAGATAGAAGAAGGGTTCCAGAAACTGAAAACTTGAGTTTCTAAAAATCCATTTTCTTGCCATTTTTCACGATCCAAAAGCCACGTCCCCTCTTAAAGGCGAAGCTTAAAGGGAGTTGCGGGTCGAGAAGTTGCGGTTTCCTGAAAAATTTTTGCGTTCCTTTTTTCGGCTGTATTGGCATCCTTGGACTATAATACTTATGAAAATATCAAGCTGAATTTCGCACGAGAAATGATCTAAAGATGCTTCCAAGTAGGGAGCGGTGACCTGAGAAATGCGCGAAAGTTGCCAAAAATGGCATATGTCGCGTTGTCCCGTCTTGAAAACGACGCGTTGGCCGTCATTTGTAATTGTGCACGCATGCTGCGAAGGCCTCCTCCTTCACAATCCACTAGTAGCATGTCTCTTATCTTCATGAAGAATGAACCAAAAACAAGAAAAACAACGCATACGTTACGCGTTTTGAATACCGCGGCAAGCAGCGCGAGGCCGCCATTGGTCG